CAAAATGGTTACAACAACATGGCGCGTTTTACAAAAATATGGCGCGAAGTATTCAAGAAATATTACAAAGCTTGTAGGTTGCTCTTTAAAGAAAATATTCCCTTAGGCCGTCCATGACCGTCCATTAAAATTTAGCCGTCCAAATTCAGAAGTGGCCGTCCATAGGACGGTCGGACGGCCGCCTGGCTAACACCCTGGTACACTTGTATGTAAAATTGTAAATTATAGCTACAACTTTGCTACTCTATAATCCACACTCAAATAGAATCAAATAAATAAGGCTAGTCAAGTTTCGATCTGATAAAACTCCGCGTAAAAATGTTTTCACTTTATTTTAAAACTCACACGATTATGTTGTTCTCACTCTATAAGGCCGATTTTTTACGTTTTTTCCCCGAAAATCCAGCAAATTACGTTTCGATTTTGATGTGTGAACTTCGAAGAAAAGCTCCCTCAGAACGCAGGAAATCGCATTTCCGAGGTCCCTCCCGGGGGAGGATTAGTGCATCAGTCAACAAAACCACTGGATCCGCGCCTGTGTACAGGGTGTCCTGTACTAATACCAAAACTATTGAAATAACGTATTGTTAGAATTTGAATGCCTCAGCACTCTGCTGAATGCAAAAATGCGTAAAATATTGACAAGGGTGCATATATTAAATATTGACTTATTAAGAACTTAAAATATATTTGTAAAGCGCACGATTTTCTGCTCTTGGGAATTTAAAACAGCTTCTTAAACGGTTTCTTTATGCATAAAATTTACTTACGTCAAGCTTTAATGCACTTGGGTCTCGCTGCGAGTGCATGCATGAGCACTTTCATCCAATCACAATGCTAAACAATTAATTTTAATTAGATGTAAGCACTCGCAGCGAGCTGCGAGGAGCTTCGTGCGAGGACTGGAAATCCGCCTTAAAAAAAGTTTTGGCCGACTTAGAATTTAGCAAGCGTCATATATTTCGCGCCTGCACGCGAGAAATTTCTGACCCGTCACGCTTGGTCAGGTATTTCGCAGAGGTCAGGAATTTCGCTTGACACCCGATAATATAGCATTGGTTATGTGCCAAGTAGTGACGCAGGGAAGTAAATAGGCGCTTTTGTGTTGCAACTGCCAATGCATGCATTCACGAGATCACTTGGAACAACCAGCGTGTGATTATTTCTCGTATGTAGGTTCAATACCTTTGCAGTGTATGGAGTTTTTGTCCAATTGTGTGTTTATAATACAAAAACACAGAAATGGCGTGAGATACACTAGCAGTTACAGTTGAACTTATTCCGTGTCTATATTTACTGTTTATTTGCCTGGAAAATAGCTTATAAAACCATCACATAAACATATAAATGATCATATATAGATTGCCGCCTGCTATTGCATTGCTTTATTCAAGAAAATGAAATGTCTGAACAAAGAGACATGGAAACAGCTATAGAGTTGTAGACTAGAGTCGTGCGACTTGGACTCGAGATGATTTTTGTGACCTGTTAATCGGTCAGTACTTGTTTCCACCTACCACAGTGACCTATGACGTCATTTTCGGAGGATGGAAGAGGTGTTAAATGGCTATGTAACTAACCCAAACCCTACCCCTACTCTAACCCCAACTCTAATCCCAACCCTAAATAAATCCACAAAGAATCAACTTTAGAAATTGATCAAATGACGTAACGTCAGTTTGATGCCGGGTTGGAAACGAGTAAAACCTTGTTAATCCACATGTTAATCAGATCAGGGCCGTAGCGAGCGGGATGTGTGTGGGGTAATTGCTTATATGAGTAATTTCAGGTAAATTCAGGTAGATTTGCAGAAGAAATTCCGGTAAATTAACGCAAATTCAGGTAATTCCTAGGACAAGAGAAAGTTAATTTACAAAAATAACTATGAATTTGGAAAAAAATTAGGTATATTTACAAAAATTTAGAATATTCTAGAAATTTTCGAAATTTTTTTTGATAAACGGAGAAAATTTGTGATGTCCGGAAATTTTTTTTTATGTCGCGAAAAATTTTGATATGTCCGGAAAATTTTTTTTACCCCTAAAATGGTACACTGACCGAAATATTTTTGGCGACGGGGGGGGGCGGTAGCAAAAAATAATTTTTTCCAAAAAAAAATTTTCAGGTAAAATTTGAAATTTTCGTACTTCCAGGTAGATTTAACCAAACACCCCCCTGAAGCGAGTTCCTCGCGACGGCACTGAATCAGATTAACAACTTGTGACATGACTTGGACTCGAACAAAGTGATTTCACTTCGACTTGCCGGAAATGACCCGTTACTAACGCACGTCACTGCATGTAAAGTCGTAAATATCTATAGTGAAAATTAACTTTCCCACAATTGCACTGGCAATTCATCGATGTATAGTGACTAGTGTAACCAGATTGGCATATCACGCCACATGTGACATACGTGTAAGAGCTCGTAATGTAAAGTATATTAATATGTAAGTTCTTTGTAGGTTTGCATGACGATAAAACATATAATACGTGGTGTTTCCACAAACAAAACTATTATATATTTAACAAATATAAAACATTTTCCGTGTTGATATACAGTTATATCAACACGAGTGGAAATTGGGAAAACGAGAAATTGTGTGGAAACACGGAC